AAACAACAACAACAACAGCAGAAGAAGAAACAATTTTTTTTCTCATCCCCAGAACGGCGCCATCAGCCAAGTCGCCGAGATCGAGAAGCTGCAGAGAGAGTCTCGCCAGCTGTCCAGCACTATCATCATGAAAGTGTCCGAGATCCTCAACACCGTGTCCACGGTCAGCCGGGAGATGGACAGTGAAGGCCACCCCATCATCGTCACTAGGCCAGCTGCTCTGAAGAAGATCAGGAGCCCCTCCGCTTACACCATGCAGCAGCCTGAGAAGCAGGTATACGTCATGCTATGACGTTTTAATTAATGTGTTTCTGTAGTTGTTTCTGGGCACTCACAATGACATATTATGATCATTTGTCTGTGTTGTTTCTGGTAGACCTGACACGATGTATTTGCCTCTGTTGTTTCTAGGTATACATGCTATAACATGGGAATCTGTTTATTTTGTTTCTATGCATATATGCTATGATGTGTCAATGTGTTTCTGTTGTTTATACGTATACATGCTACGACTTGGGAATTTGTTTCTGTTGTATCTAAGATCACGCTATTATGACGTATGAATTTGTTTCTGTTGTATCTAAGATCACGCTATTATGACGTATGAATTTGTTAATGTTGTTTCTAGGCATGAATACCCTACACGTTAATTTGTTCCTGTTGTTTCTATGTATACATGCTATGATGTGTGAATTCGTTTCTGCTGTTTCTAGATACACATGACATGACGTATTTGCCACTGTTGTTTCTAAACACACTACGTCATGAAGTATTTGTTTCTGTTGCTGTTAGGTACACACGTCATGGCGTATTTATTATTAGTTTCTGTGGTTTTCTGGGTACACACGTTATTATAACTTTGTGTATTTTAAGTACAGAATGATTAACAGATTCTATGAAAATAGCAGTTCTACGGAAATTGCTCCCTATACACATCAAACAATCTCTCATCCCTCCTCTCCCCACACTTTTTCTTTCCTTCCCACCACCCCATCCTTCCCCTCTCCCTCCTTTCCTTCCCCCATCCCTAACCCCCACACCTTCCATTCCCCCCCACC